CTCCTCCTATTTCTAGTCTCCAGATCTAAAAGTCTGAACACCTGCCCTCATTTACTCTTTGATATGAATTCGGAATAGATGATACATGTTGTTGCTGTTAAGTGTCATCGAATCAGTTCCGACTCCTAGTGACCCTGTATAGGGTTTCCAATGCTGGCTGGTAAATCTGAACCACCTCACTTGTGGTTCAAACCAACCTTGAGGTCATGTACTTATTCTGCAGCATCACACCAGAATAGATTATATACTTACACATTTGTACAATAGAGGCCTTGTTTTGTGGTACTTTTTCTTACATTATCCTGTGTGACACATAACAGTATAAATAGGAATCCATTGATCAGTTCCTGAAGTTACAGTTAGTTCATAGCACTGACTTGTTTTTCTTTCCCCAACAGTGTGTGTAGATAATACTGTCATATAATGGTACACAAAAGCTTTGCTCATCTGGGATCCAATATTTTGAAACACTTAGACTTTTAGTTCTAGATGTAGTCAGAAGAAATTTCCAAAACTTCTTTAACAGTACAGAAGCAGGTCCAAAGCACATAAGTTGAGATTTGTAGTCCCAGTATTTCTATTTACAGGAGCAGGGCATGGCTGGTGATAACTCTAAGGTCGACCTTTTCATGGGAAATTGAGAAATGTAGGAGCAGCGAGAAGGAGAACAAAAGACAAGCAGCATCCTAGGAGTGGGAGGGTACAGCTGATAATCAAGTACAGAAATGTAAAGAGTCAGGGCTAAAAACTGTGCTAGGTGATGGGAGGTGGGAAGTGTGGAAATGACGCACAAAGGGCCAGTGTGGAAAGCAGGAGGTATTTGGACAGTAGAGAAGCAATATGTAGGGAAGCAAGGGTGAAGGAAGCATGTACATCAGTATTGTAGCCCAAGAATACACAGATGATTATTTGATGTTGCAAGTGGTGGGTGACACATCAGCCATGTGTACCTTCATATAATGCCATTGAAAGTGTTCTTAGTTGCCACAGAGTTGACTCCAACTCTCCTGGTTGGTGAACACAACTCTGCATGATCATTGATATGTTTGAATCCATTGTTTCAGTTCTTATGCCAATCCATCTCATTGAAGACTTCCCTCAATTTTGTTGACCTTCTTCTTTACCAAACCTGATGTCATTTTCTAATAATGTGTCTTTCATGTAAGGAAGACAAAGTCTGGCTTCTAAGGAGCATCCTGGTTCTATTTATTCTAAGACTGAGTTCTTTTGTTCTTTGGGCAGTTCAATACACCACAATTTAAAGGCATCAATTCTCCTTTTGTCTTCCTTTGTCCTTGCCCAGCCTTCTCATGCATAACATATGAGGCCATTGAAGAGACTGGTTGGACTCATCTAAAGTGACATCTGCTTTTTAACCCTTTAAAGAGGTCTTTTTCACTAGATTAGCCTGCTATAATACATGGTTTGACTTCTTGGCTGCAGCTTCCATGAACATTGATTGTTAGACATAAGTAAATGTTTGTTGAAGAGCACATGCATGCATACCTTTGTAGATACATGTAGATTGATAGGTGCAGTGAAGGCAGTGTGCAAAACTGAAGACACCCTGTTCTGTCCCTGAGCTTGCATCCATGGAGCTTTTCTATCTATGACAACCCAGCAATGAGAGGGTGAGTTGGACTCTACCTCCACTGTAACAGGGACTACAAAGCTGACTATGTGACATGACTACCTGGTACCGAGCAGAGCATGGGTGAAACGCTAGTTAAGCAGCTGAACGCCCTGGCTGACCATATCTGTGGTCACTGTAAGCAGCAGCAGATGAGACATGAAATCAAAAGTGCATCAGTCTCACACGTCTCCAGGAGTGCCTCTGTCATAAGGTGCAGCATGTCAGCACCAGTATACTGGGTGGACAGCAGACTGGAGGGGGCGCATGACTGGTACGGATGCTGATGGGGCTCTGGTAGCGTAGTGGTTACAAATCGGGCTGCGAACAGCAAGGTCAGCAGTTCGAAACTACCAGCTGTTCCGCAAGAGAAAGATGAGGCTTTCTGCTCCCGTAAAGATTTACAGCCTTGGAAACCCTGTGTGGGGTCGCTATGAGTCGGAACCGACTCCATGGCACATAACAACCACAATTTAAAAGTTTAAACTTTCAGAGCTCTCTGACAAACACCGAAATGATTCATCCCCTAAATATTCCAAATAAGCCTTGTGTTTTGCTTTTGAAAGGTGCATTGTGTATTTCAAAGTGCATCTGCAGGTATTCACCAAAACCTGTTGCCATCCAGTGGACTCCCACTCACAGGTACTTTATAGGACAGAGTAGAATTGAGTTTTGAAGGCTGTGAATCTTGACGGAAGCAGACACCACATCTTTTTCCTGTGGAGCAGCTGTTGGTTCGAACCACTGAACTTTTCGTTAGCAGCTAAGCACTTTCAACATTGTGCCATCAAGCTCCATATCTATAGATACTTTTGTTGCTATTAAGTGCCGGCAAGTTGGTTCTGACTCATAGCTATCCAGTATAGGGTTTCCAGGTAGCAACTAGTGAGTTTGAACCATCGACCTTGTGAGTGAAACCAACCTTGCTGTCCAGTGCTGTATCCTGCAGCACCACACAAGGATTGCCATGAGATGAGGTGAGGGGTTTCTCTTCCTCATTAGTCTCCACTTTTACATGAGAAGAATTTGAGACAGACACTAAGCAAAAAGTCACACAACTAGCTGGTGGCAGTGTAGAGTAGGGACCCAGGTACCCTGAGTACCAGCTCTTGCCTTAAATAGTACTGTTGCTTATACCCGTGATTTTGGAAACACTCTTCAGGGTCGCTATGAGTCAGAACCAACTCAGCAGCACTCATCAACAGTAAGTCCAAACTAGGAGATGTTGGGTCTAGGAGAGAGTACCCTCCTAGTCTGTGGTCCTGGGGATTCCTGGGCATTCCTTGGTTTGTAGATGGTTCATCACATTGTCACTTGGCATCTTTCTCTGTGTCTGTGTCTCTTCTGCCCTTTTTATAAGATGCCTCTCAGAAGTGATTGAGTTTAGGACCTCCCCCAAGAAATGTCGTATGTTTTTAAAAACTTGTTATCGTGAATTAAGTGAAGGTTTACAGGACAGATCATCAGTCCCACATTCAACAAAGTATACACTTCCTGCCATTACAATGATTACAATGCACTCTGCGTACCAGTTAACAATATTTACTTCTATTCGCTTTATTTTTTCCCTTCTCCTGACACACTTTGCAATCATCATAGAATAATGTGACTTTTGGGGGACAGAGTTCAATCCAAGTGAGTGAGCCATGAAAACTGTCAGTGAAGGGATTCAGACAATCCATTGTTTAGTCTCACTAGGCTGATGCTGCAGTAAGAAACCTGCTCTTCATCTTCTGCTAAGAGTTCTAAGTGTAATTGTAGATACATTTGTGCCTTCTGTCTTTCTTTGTCAGGAGTCAGAGTGAGATTATCTTGAATCACTGTTGACAAGGAATAGAGAGATAAGATGCTTTTAAGAAATCAATTAAAAGATAACTTGGAAATCTAAGGAGATTCTTATAGGATAAATCAGTGGAATTACAAAACCATTCTTTTATTTTGTAATGAGGAATGCATATGATATAGATATAGATAGATGTTGTTATTACATGCTGTCAAGTAGGTTCCCCCTCACAGAGACCCTATATAAAGTTCCCAAGGCTGTAAATCTTTGCGGGAATAGAAAGCCACCTTTTTCCAGGGGAGATCTTGGTGAGCTCCAACCATCAACTTTGTGGTTCACAGTCCAGCCCTTATCCTACAGAGCCATTGTCCTCTGGAGTCCTTTTGTGATGATGTAGGATAAGCACTGGACCACAAGGTTGATTTGAACTGCAAGGCTGGTGGTTCAAATCTACCAGATACCCCTCAGAAACCCCACACAGGGTCACTATGAGTTGAAACTGACTCAACAGCACTTAACAACAACATATCATATATATGCTGTAGGATAATAAGCACTGGACTGTTAACCTCAAAGTCAGCAGTTCAACCCCATCAGCCACTCCTTGGAAACCCTATCTATGGTTGCTATGAGTCAGAACTGAAAAACAATGTTTACACACACATACCAGAAGGCTTCAAATTTTTTCTAGAAAAATCTATTTTCATTTCCTCTTTCCATCAACTTTTTGAAGCTTCATATATGAATAATTTATTTTTTATAATAACTTTTTTTTCCTATAGGAACATTAATAACCATAGAGCAAGAAAAAAGAGGAAGGAGGTTTATTTTATTCCAGTATGTCTACAACCACCTCCTAATAGTGTCCCCATTATGCCCTGTAGTTGTGAGCAGAAAGCAGGGTGATGGTTATATATGCTGCAAAACACACAAGATTGCTTAAATTTGAAGGTTTCCAGGTGAGGTGATGTATGCTTATTACTGACCCAAATATAACATCTCAGTTGGAGACTGCAAGAATGACCTCATCCTCTTACATTTTAAGGCAGCTGTGCTAGGGAGAGCCAGGCAGGATGCTCTTCCCTGGAGATAGTCCATTTTCACATCTCATTCATAATTGAGGCAAGTGAGGATAATTTTTTTTGCCCATTATAGGAGGTGGTTACATCAGATCTCCAGTGGTATACCAAAGCTCTCCTATTGTTGCAACTTAACAACTGTAACCTAGTATCATAACAAGATCTATATTAATGTGCAAAATGCACATTTTAAGAGGGAGAAAAAAAAGGGAAGTAGCACTTAACACACTCAGTGCAGACAAGTGTGCGGAAATGTTGCTGCCTACGTGTCCTAAAAGTTCCTAGACTAACTGGATCAGACTAAACTATAACATAGTGTTTACTCTTGGGTTTCTGTGCCCAATAGTAACCTTTCCTTGGAGGAGAAGAGAATTTAAAAGCAGGGCTGCAGAATGATAGAGGCCTTTGATCTCAGAGGCACTCAATGGAAGTGAATTCTGACTTGCACTCGATGGAAGTGAATTCTGACTTTTATCATTACCTTTTTTTTTTTTTTTTGTCTGTGCAGGTGGTTCCAGGAAAGAAATCACTGAACACTGGGAATGGCTGGAGCAGAATCTATTGCAGACACTCTCCATCTTTGAGAATGAGAACGATATCACCACATTTGTGAGAGGCAAAATACAGGTAGTCGGTTTAAAGACAACAACAAACTTGCAGAAGAAAATAAAATAGTATAAAAATACCCTTTATGCAGATTCACCTGTTGTTAACAGCATACCTCATTTGCTTTATCCTTTGTTTGCTTTCACACACTGTTTGAGAGGAATCCCCCTAAATACTTCAGTGTGTATTTCCTAGGAATAGGAATACTTGTTGCTCCTGAACCCGATGTGTTGTAGAGTAGAACTGCGCCATAGAGTTTTCTTTGCTGTAATCTTTATGGAAGTAGATTGCCAGATCTTTCTTCCAAGGCACTATTGCTTGGGTTTGAACCTCCAGTCTTTAGGTTAATAGTCAAGCACAAACTTGTTTGTGCCACCCAAGGACCTAAAAGACTAATGCTTAGGTTCTTAAATAGCAAATTTTAGTAAATTTTAGATTGATACTATATCCTGCTATGGCGCTGTAGGATAAACTCTGGACTGCTAACTGTAAGATCAGCAGTTCCTACCTACTAGGCATTCCTTGGAAAGCCTATGCAGGGTAGCTATGAGACGAGATCCTACTCAGTGTCAGCAACAACAAATATCCTAATACATACATATATATCGTACAGGTACCATATATATA